ATTAAAAAACTTACTTGTTTAATGAGATGGTATTACCTACGCGGACCCCTGGTTGGGAACCACTGGTATAATACATGGATTTCATCTTATTTATAGATTTAATGTTAACTTGTAGATAATAATTTTATGTATTTCTGTATTGCATTTGATGTCCTTAGTGTTTCATTACTGTATAGTTTATATTATATTTGGGTCAATAATGTTTTCTAAGTTCCTTATGAGCAGCCCATGTATATATATGTATATCACTGTATTACGTGGTAGTGACGGTATTACGTAGACTGTTGGGGCCAATACTGTTTGTGTAATGTGTAAATATTCTCAGAACCTTTCTGTACTACCATGTTTATATATATATGTACATATATATATATATTTTTGTTACAAAATAAAAAATAATTTACTTAAGCTTTAAAGATATTTTCTTTAATGGATATCCGTACAAATTTAAATATTAAAACAGGAAATATAATGTATTTTCAAAATATTTTGTGGCTATAAAATGCATACAAGTTTTCAACAGAAATAGTGATCTGAAACTTAAATTAAAAAATATCTGAAAAACACGATTTACGTCATGCAGGATAAAGACTAATGTACTTTCATTAAGTTTGTTATCAATATGGTTTCTCTTATCTAATACGACTTCTTTTTTCTTCAATAGTAATATTCTTATAGTTAATGAAAGTAAGAAAATGTCACTAAACATTTTTCTCAATGAGTTTGATTTAAAATAATAAGCATGTTAATGTTGTGCACCATCTGACTTAAAAAAATAGCGATTTAAGCGTTAAAATGTCGTATGATTCCAAAAAGTCATCGTTCAGTTTTTACTGTTTTTCAAAAATATTATACATTGTCTAAATATTAATTACAAACACGCGAAGAAGAGGGTGGAGAAACATTATTTACACAGAGATCTAGATTTTAACCTCTTTGGTTTGGTGACAAAATGCAGTGATAAAAAGCTACTTTAAATAATCAGGTGGCATGATGTCGATGGTTTTAGAATATTTAACAATTCCATTTTCCTTTGCTTTTCATCAGTACTTCATTTCGACATGTGAAAAAATTAAGTTCACGAGAACATTTAATTACACCCAGGACAAGAAACGGCGAGATTGCAAATTTCTGACACCTTTCCTTTTCACTTGTATCAGAAGTTATGTGCCCTCTAGTGTCGAATGGAAAAAGCGGCGATAATACAGTTACTTTTATTTTATGGCATTTCCACTTGAGTGCAAACAAAAAGATGATAGAATAAGGACTATTCTAGTTTATTATTTAAATTATTTGATCATACATAATATTAATATTACAGTAATATCTTCTATTAGACCACGATGTTTGGTTTTACATACTGGTGGTTCGTATTAAAACCAATATCTATCTCGTTTTTGTTTTATCACTATCTTTTTATTTTTTAGCTTTATCTCATAAAACATATCTTTAAAAAAACGTTTCTTTCGTGTAATCTATAAGAAACGCCTATAATTGAAAATAATAATCACACTTAAGAAAAATAGGTAAATATATCTTATAAATGACCAGTGAAAGGAATAAAATATGACACCAGGTATCTTCGTTTGCCCAAAATGGATGTTTCTATCCGATCTCCGAGTGCAATACCATTATTAGAATATCTAGAGGCACGGTAGTGACTCCAGCCAAGTTAGGAATGTGTAGAAAGAGCGCCATATAAATATGTGAAAAAAAAAGACGTTAAGTTATATAAAAAAACAACAACAAAGCCTTTAAATATGTAACGTAATAGTGGATAAATTAAACAAGAAAAATATCGGGGAACGATCAGACCTTTTTTTATATTATTCGTATAAATATGAATACAAAAAGCAGACCAAGTTATCCATAATTTTTGTTGTTTGACTTATTCATTTTTGCATTACATCTTTACAGGGTTTTCTCTATATAACTTGGCTGTTTTTTTATCATCTTTATATGGCTGATCACCTTCATTCTAAACAGGCTGTTTTTGTACACGTAAAAGATTTTGACCAGTTATATATTTAGTTATTTACTTACTTTTTTAATTACGGGTGTGGTCAAGTGGTCAGCGTGCCCAAAATGTGAATCCAATAGTTCACAAATATTTTGTGCAAATACGCCCTCCGCACTTTGAGGCCTTGGGTATGTTATAAGCGTGAGCGCCAAATCCCACTGTTCATTAAGACAAGACTAGCCCAAGAGTTAGCCATGGTTGCTATTGGTAAGCTACTTTCCCTCTAAACTGTAATTTCAAAATTATGGTCGACTATTTGTTTGTTTGTAGTTAAGCACAAAGCTGCACAATGAGCTATCTGTGCTCTGCCCACCACGGGTATCGAAATCCGGATTCTAGCGTTGTAAGTCCGCAGACATACCGCTGTGCCACTAGGGGCATAGTCGACTATACGTAGATAACTCTTATTTAGCTTTGCTTGAAAATATGAAAAACAAAACTAAAAACGTTTCAACAACATACTTGACTTTTTACAGTTTCAACACTCTATACGTTCTTCGTTGTTTTACAGCATTAGTTTTTTTATACACTAGCACAAAATATTATTTCTAAGACCCTAAGTAATCGAAAGGTGTTTAAAAAAATCAGTATAACAGATATTAACACTATTATGTAATTATCATGTGTTTCTGGGTTCTGCGATGAAGATTTCTAATAAGTTCATATGTTGTTACAAGGTGTAAATAAAGCGCTTTATTCTTAATCCAGTAAGATACGTAGGAGGATGTTCTATCCTAATAAACTCTTATAACAACTTAATATGCGAAAAACAAGAGAACGAAGAACCAATCTTATATAATTTTAATCAGTTAAGTACTTCAGACGCAAGAGGGTTGCATATTTCATAAAACCTTGAAATACTTTTACAATCTTAAGAACTTATAGATAAAAACAAGAATAGAGTATGTATTAATATGCCAACTACTATATTTGCCACATCCAGTGTCGAAGAGGTATTTCTCCCAGTACCAAGCCTCATCACATAAACACACAGACATAATAATAGTCAAAGCTCTATCATGAACCACTATCGTGGTTCATAATAGGGATCGCAAAGGAATTGCGCCGAACCCAATAAAACGTTTGGGCAAAAACCACCTTAAACAATAAAGATTCACTTCAAACAACACTTTAAAATCCTTACTATTGACTGCTAAGGCTGTACACTCATAAAAATGCACAAAAAAGCATGCATATAAGACTTACAAGGAAAAGAAAATCTGCTAAAACGGTCCGTTTGTAATTCTTCTTCTCTGTCAGTCTACAACAAAGTTGGCTTGATATATTGCACCCAAACCTTTAGTAGAATACCAAATAAGATACTGCGAAGGTCATGGAAATACTGAAAAGTCGTTTTGTTTCTTATATATTTTACATAAGCTAAAAAACATCATAATTCTAATGTAAACTATGTTATCATTTCCTCTTGAAGTTAGCTTTCTTACAAATATCTGGTGTTCCTTTAAAAAGTTAAGTACAGGGTGAAACAGGAATTACCAGCCAATAATAGATGAACATTAGATGACTGTAACATGTAGATACTCAAAACTTTGTGTACTATCCATCGATGTTCTTAGGGAGCCAACCCATATGTTATGTATGAAGTGAAGAAGTAAAAAAATGAATCAATACACATAATATTAAATTTTATCACACATTCGTAGAATAATTACTATAAAAAACACGAAGGTTTATTTAAAGCGATGTTTTATTTGAAAATGCTGATTTTCTACTGGTAAAACTTTATATGCACAGAAACTATAAATGCTGATTATATTCTCAAACAAATCTCCATGAGAATCTCCAGCTGGAACTTAACATTTTACATCTCGAACTAATGTGATCAAATAGTCAATAGCTACAGTAAATCATCATGAATCGTATCAGCTAGCTACTAGCTATGTTTATTAACTACCATATCAAGTAATCCTTTGCCCATTAGTTGAGAATAAAAAGCCAACAAACAATATAAATAAAAAATTGGGAATTTAAAAACCTGCAAGTAGGGATCATAAAAAGTAAGCAAACAAGGCTGGAAATACTATAGATATTTTTATTTAAACTACAAATCCATATTCTGACTCAACCAAATGTAATTCTAGGTAACAACATGGAGCTAAAATAAGGGTTTGTAGTTTAAGTAAATAATGTCTACAGTATCTCTAGTCTTGTTTCTTTTTTTACCATCTCATTTTTTAAATAAAATTGGTTTTTGAATTCCCATTTTTTCTAATTATCTTGTTTATATTGTTGCGTCAGCGAGGCCACGTGACTAGTATCACGCCACGTCCTTCTCTCGAACCTTCGTGAATTATCGGGAGACTACTAGATTGGGGGTAGTCTGGTATATATATAAGATGGTCACAACGTGATGGAACAGAGGTAGTGAGTAATT